ATTATGACGAGACTTTCAGCCCCGTTGTCAAGCCTGCCACTCTTCGTGTTATCCTCAGTCTTGCTCTGTCTCGAGGTTGGCCCATTCATCAGCTTGATGTCAAGAATGCGTTCCTTCACGGCCAGCTACAGGAGACCGTCTATGCCTGTCAGCCTTCTGGGTTTCAGGATCCCACTCGCCCTCACTATGTGTGCAAGCTCAAGAAGGCTCTATATGGTCTCAAGCAAGCACCCCGATCATGGTTTCACAGGTTTGCTGGCTTCATACAGACTATTGGGTTTAGAGGATGTAAGGCCGACACTTCTCTCTTTGTCTTCTCTCAGCCCATGGGCACGACCTATCTTCTTCTTTATGTGGATGATATAGTTCTCACAGCTTCCTCTCCAGCACTTCTACAGAGTCTCATTCAGCAGCTCAAGGCTGAGTTCTCCATGACTGATATGGGCGATCTGCACTTTTTCCTTGGGATCAATGTTCACCGCACAGCTTCTGGCCTCTTCCTCCACCAGACTCAGTTCACGCACGACATCCTTGAGAGGACAGGGATGGTTTCTTGTCGGCCCATCTCAACCCCGGTGGATACAAAGGCGAAGCTCTCTGCGTCAGCTGGTACGGCGCTCTCCGACCCCTCACTTTACCGATCCATTGTTGGCGCGCTGCAGTACCTCACATTCACTCGTCCTGATATCACATATGCAGTCCAGCAGCTCTGCCTACACCTCCATGCCCCCACGACGCTCACTTTACAGCCATGAAGCGTGTTCTCCGGTATCTCAGTGGCACCGCTACTCATGGCATTCATTTGACACGATCCGCCACCGACTACCTACAGGCTTATTCAGATGCTGATTGGGCTGGATGTCCTAATACCAGACGTTCCACTTCGGGCTACTGCGTTTTCCTCAGCGACAATCTTGTCTCATGGTCGTCTACTTCTCGACCCAGTGCCGAGGCCGAATACCGGGCTGTAGCGAATGCTGTTGCAGAAACCAGCTGGATCCGAAACCTCCTCCTTGAGCTCCAGCAGCCACTCCGTCGCGCCACACTTGTCTTTTGTGATAATGTCAGTGCGGTCTACCTTTCGTCAAACCCAGTACAGCATCAGCGCACCAAACACGTCGAGGTTGACATACACTTTGTGCGTGATAAGGTGGCGCTCGGTCAGATCAGAGTCCTGCATGTTCCGTCATCTTCTCAGTTTGCTGATATCTTCACAAAGGGATTGCCCTCACAATTATTTCTTGACTTCAAAGAAAGCCTGGGTATCCGACCCCCAGCACTGCCGACGTAGCCGGGAGCATGTTAAATATATATAATATATTTAATATTATTGTATTATTATTGTTACCATATTTGTATAGGTTTCCTATATTGTCTCTTACCATATTTGTATAGGTTTCCTATATTGTCTCTCCTACCTTAATTAGGATTGAGACTTTTGTATATATACATGTACTCTCCTCACAATTTATTCAATGAAAATACTTCTTCTTCACATCTCATCAATTTTTTCATTCTCCTTCATACGAAATAATTCATATTCATGGGTTAGAAAATCAATTTTAGCTTCTCGGACTTGATCCGTACCTTCATAGGTGATTTCTAGTTTGTCCCACATTTACTTGGCGGTGGAACAACAAGAGATTTTTCGGTAGTCATCCGGGTTTACGGCACAATAGATGATATTGATGGCCTTAGCATTGTTCTCCACTTTCTTGATGTCTTGTGCATCATACTCATTCTCGGTCTTAGGGACGTTCATTTCCCTGACCTTTTTCATTGACACGTCTTCACCATTTTTGATAATTCTCCAAAGGAGAAAGTTGGTGGATTGGATGTAAATCCTCATCCACTCCATCCAATAGGTGTAGTTTGTTCCGTCAAACAACGGAGGCCTTGTGGTGGATTGCCCTTCACCTAAACCTGCGTATGAACTTTGAGTAGAAGCCATTGATCGTTTCTCTCAAGTGGTTAAGTCTTTCAGAGAGTAAGGCTCTGATACCAATTGTTAGAATAAGGGCCCAACGCTAGAGTGGGGGGTGAATAGCGTTTAAAACAAAATTGCAGGAAATTAGAAACGAGAGCGTTAATGTAAAGAGCGTAAGGAAGGAACACACCAAATTTTATCATGGTTCACCACAACGTGTGGCTAATCCAGCCTCCCGAGAGACTCTCTCGGGCTACACTAACTTTGTTAAGCTTGAGGGTGCTTAACAAACCGATACAACTTGAGAACCTGAGTCACACGAGCCTCAACACCTTTGCTCAGAGATACCACACTCCAAGACTTCTCACGCAGGAACCAAGAACTTCCTTCGATTTTACAACAAGGGAATAACCTCTCTTAAAGTGTATGAAAACACTTAAACACTCAGGAATAAAACTCTCACAAAGAGTAGATATGAGTGAACTAGTAAACGCTCAAGAACACAACAATTTTCTTCAAGAATTGGCTCTCAAATAGCTAAGAAAAATAGGAATGCTTATGCAATGAAAGAGTATTGAAATGTTGAAGAATTGTGTGTAAAATGAGAGGATTTGGGTGCCATTTTATAGCCCAAAATGGGATAAAACCGTTGCTAGAGTTTCGAACAGGATGAAGACAAATTTTTCAGAGTTGTAGGGTGATAATCGATTGTCAAGTCTTGATAAACGATTATTAAACGATTCCCTGTCCAAAAGTTTAAAAATCTACCATTAGAGGACAACGGTAACCCAGATAATCGATTTTCAACAAGTGATAATCGATTATTGGTCCTCTCAGAAGATTCTGGGTTTTGGCTGCGAAGACTGATAATCGATTGTTGCAGATTGACATCGATTATTGCGTGATTTATACTGGTTCACCACCTTGTGGCTAGTCCAGTCCTCCGAGAGACTCTCTCAAAGGTTCTACTAAAGTTCAAGCTTCAACGGGTGCTTGAAAAACTGACAGTCGTAGTTTTTCGGGTAGTAAACCTTCCCAGTAAAGGGTTAGTTTTCTCTCCAAGTGTCGTATCTCTCGAGGAGTGGACGAAGAGAATTAGTTTAATTAATCTAATTACGCGAAGATTATGATTGGTTTATGAAAGTCTTCTCGAATCGATTATAAAAAGGGAGCAGAGTAAAAATAATAAATTAAGTTTACATAGTATAAGTATGGATCTGGTCCTCGGGTCTGGACATCATTTGGATCTATTTTATCATATTAAACTAGTGGTTGGAATAATAATATTTCTATTACTACTCATCCATTTCTAAATTTGTACTTAATCCGTTGCACTTGAATATCATAGCCTTTTGGCATACAATATTTTCTTAATAAATAGTTAATTAAATCTTTCGAGATTAATTAACTACATAAGGCAAGAACAATAGATTAACCACTCCAACATTAATTTAACATAAAAAAATAAACAACCAAACTAGTCCGGACCCAGAGATCCGGACCCTAACTCATACTATGCAAACATAAATTAAAACAACATTTTATTAAATGAAGAAAACTTACTACTTCCGTAAAAGCGGAACAGAACAGATCGGGAGTCAAATCCTCTGGAAAATACTTAAAAATAATAACTAAACTAATCTACAATGAAATATTGAGCAAATTGAAGGGGAAACCCGAAATGGGGTTGTAAGATGGTGTTGGAATGGTGGAGATGGCGCTGCTTTTATAGGACAGAGGCCGAGGTGTCCAAGTCAAAGTGCCTGGATCCAAAGCGTCCAAAGTTGGACGCCTTACGCGGCCCGTGCATTCGCTGCTTGCCACGTGTCTTCCTTGATCTGCAATTCAGCCAAGGCGTCCAACTCCCAAGCGTCCAAGTTGGATGCCTTAGGCCCTGGTCCGTTAGGGCTTCGCGGCTGATGCGAGATCTTGGCCCAATTTCGCTGGTTTTTGGCCCGAACGTCGATTCTATATTCCGGAAGCTCGTTCAAGCCCGAATCTTGATCCTTTGATGATTTATTCCCTTTTTCTCAAGCGTTTGAACATAGAATGGATGATTTATGATGATTTAATGTGGAATCCCATTTTATGACTCTTAGAACGAAAATTAGAGTTTTATTCATTGAAATCACATTTTATAAGATGATTAAATACTATTTACGTGCAATAATGTTTAGAATATGATGTAAATGATAAGAACAAAATGGACTTATCAAATTTCTCACACTTAAATTGTAACACCCCAACTCGAATAACCCATTTACCTAGATTATTTGAGCCGGAGTAGTTACCATGATGGTAAATACGCATGATAATTTGAAGGATAATTTAAAACCAATTTAAACTTTAACGTAAAAGATAATTTCAAATATTAAATTCAGAGTATTGCTGAAACAGTGCGGAAGCTTAAATATAAAACATAATCAAATTGTTTTACATTTTCTGGGTACTCGCCCGAAAAGGTATTTATTTAATTAAGGCATCATAAATGTGGTCCACCAGTCCGTACATCTCTTCACTCTCATTGACCTCCGGGATGGGCTCCATGACCGGTATCGTTACCTGCGTGTAGCAAGTAAAACAAACTACACGCTCAGCATCAGCTGAGGAATACGCTAGTACAACAATTCCAAATTGAATAGCAAGTAGACATATAATTATTCATGATATGACATAATATAGCATATATATTCAAGATGATGATAATGATACGTGATTGAAGTCATACATGATCATAATGATTGTACTTGATGATGATTTCATGCTGTATGATTCTAACGAGCAAGGACACCCTTGCGCTATGAGATTCGCCCATTTGGTACGACGAACTCACGCGGCCTTAGTCTCTCAAGGGAGACTAGAAAGTAGGGGTGGTACTCGAAGTTTGAATACCATGTACGTACACTAAGCCCGGAACGGTGATGTCGGACTAATAAGTCCCGCACATCACGCTACAAGAGACGCACTTCTGCCTGATCTCTTGCGCATGCACATGATGTGATATGTTTCAATATGGATGATGAAAATGAATTACATGATATGAACAATTTGTAAGCAACATGATAGGATAAATATACTTAATTTTATTTGAATGAAATCTGATAAAAATATCATTTCATTAAGCTACGGGGCTCGGAACGATCAACCGTTCGGGTCGACGAACCCTACTTTTGATATTTTTTTTGGATATCTAAAATACTTCTTTGAGTTGTTTTAACACTTATGATTAACATATTTATGTATTTGAAGTATTCTTAACATTTATATTTCCATTTAAGGTGAAGTATCAAGAAAAACATATTTCTTTACTTTATAAGTTTAATGAGTTTGGTCTTAAAGCATAAATGACTTGTAATATGGCAATCAATCCTAACGATATATCTAGATTGATATTCAACCAAGGATTGCGTTACTAAGGTGCAATGTACTCGCCTTGATAACGTTGAAGACGGAAGTGATAGGAATAAAGTATACGCCTCAACGAACGTTCAACGTACGGACACCTCTATCAACTTCAAGCTTCCAACGTCGGGTCTTCTCTACGATACTCTCTGGGAGTTCCTAATAATCATTAGAGAATCGATGATAAGAGTTTTGAACGGAATGGAAAGAATATTGAAAAGAAAGTAGTCAAACCCGAGAGGCCCGTCGCCACTGACGCAGTCTCGGTATTTTGACCATATCTCCTTCGTTTCTCAACGAAATCGCAAACCGTTTGATGCGCTGGATTTGCGAGACACGAGGCTACAACTTTTGTTCAGAAATCAGACTGAAATAATGACTTTAAGATATATGAAAATGGCTCACAAGGTGACAGTTTGCTGCTGCCAGGATTTTGAAGAAACAATGATGATTTCTTCTTCTTGTTTCACCAATGGAGTTGAAGTTCTTCCTCTTTTCTTTGCTTGAATGAATCTTCCAACAAGAGAGAATGATTGGAAAAGAAAATATGAGTTTTATGATAAGCACTTTGAATGGAAGATATAGATATGATGAAGAAAACATAGCCAACCCGTGGAACTCGTCACCACTGACGCAGTCCCGGTATTTTGGCGATATCTCCTTCGTTACTTAACAGAATCATGAACCGTTTGTTGGGTTGGATTCGTAACATCCGGGGCTACAAGTTTGGTATAATATATATCTCGAGAAAATGAATAGAGAATTACAGAATTGACGACGAAGTTGCTGCTGCGTTTTTCACTCAGGATTTTGGAAACTTGATGCTTCTTCTTGTTTCTTCTTCTTCTTCTTGCTCAACAATGGAGATGAATGAAGTGGACTCTTCCACCTTCCTGAACTGCCGACAGAGAGAGAGTGAGAAGGGAGAGTGGATATTTGTGAAGTGAAATGAGAATTTGCAAAGTGGAAGGAAATTTTTGGAGTATTATATTGGAGATTGGATTGTGGAGGTAGTGGGTTTCCTAGCATGTTCCTAGGGTGGCCTAATTGGAGACTTGAGAGACATGTGCTACGTGATTGAGATCAAATTGTGATTTAAAAATATTCTCCCACTCCGTAAGTGATAAACTGGCTAAAACGGTACGCGCTTTTTCACCCAAATTGTTCCGATTTGAAAACGGATCGCATATTTGGAATCAGACTGTCAAAACTAAAATTTTGATATAATTAAAATATTTTTCTGAAAACTTTTATTTTTCAGTGTTCGGGTCTGTCTAAGTCATTAATTAATATTTAAATTAATTAATTCTTTTAGGCCTAATTTCGAGGCGTTACATAAACGTTGCTTGCCCTCAAGAAACAAATTGAATAATATCAAGTATAAAGGCAAATTAATAATTCCAGAGGCAAGGTTTAAGCTACATATTATGAAGGAAAGAAGAAATAAGATAGTCATCAACCTTTTTGTTAAGAATAAATGAACCTTTAGATTCTCACCCATATTGTTAGAAATGTAAAAGAATTTTGTCAAACCAATATCTTTACACCAACCTAAACAACCAAAATTTTCCAAACTTTCTTTGGGATAACTACATTTGTAAGAGTATTTTAAAGATCAAATAATTTTTTTAATGGCTAAATTGGAAAACATGTTCTTGCAAAAGTACTTGTTAAAGTGTAAGGGTTTAATTTTCTTTGGCATAATTTTGTCATGTTGACACGAGAAAAATTTATAACCTCATCCCGTGACGTAGAACCACGAGCTTTTTGGATATACACTCTAGAAAGTCTCATCACACGACATAGAACCGCATGCTTTTTGACTCTAACACTCAAAAGGCCTCATCACGCAATATAGAACCACGTGCTTTTCGGCATACTCACCATGCCTCATCAGTTGACTTAGAACCAACTGCTTTTTGGCTAAAACAAGAATCTCGGTCTCACTAAAGTATGCTTTGAAACATCGCCCCTTATACTTTGAAAATAACTCTTTTTAAGAAACAACAAATACTCAAAAGAGCATCAGCAAAAAGATTTTCAATAAAGCACTTAAAAATTAATTGATTTAAAAAAACTCTTAATAAATTGTGAATTTATCCCAAATTATTTTAGAAAACATTCCCAAAAAGGTTAGAGTAGAAATAGAAGTTTGATAAAAAATTTTAAAAATTTCCAATTTTCACGGGTGATAACTAAAGATTAATTAATCAAACAATTAAAATTGATGACTATTCTATAAAAATCTTTCCCTACAAATATATAGACAAAACAATTCCTAAACAGATCATTTCAACCAGAAACTCTTGCCTCCTCACACTTAAACGGAACCACGCCCTCGTGGCTAAAAGTATCTTGGCATTGGAGTTAATGGTTGAAATGCTCACATGCAATTACTGAGTTATCTCAATACTTATAAAATTCAAAGATGAAGATTGAAATAATAGATGTCCATCATATGTAAAAAGGGAATAATGCATAAAATTTTCTCAAAATGGTTTTAAGAGTCATGTTGTGAAATTCCAAAATAAAAATCAATCAAGCATCCAAATCATGTTCAAAATAGTGGAGAAAAAGGGACTTTACTGATAAATTCAATATTCTCTCAATAGCAAACTTCAACGGGAGGTTGCAGAAACCTCAAGAAGCCTCGAAGGTCTTGTGTTCTCCCCAGGTGAGACCTCTTCTTCGCTCCCACTGTAAGGTATTCCCTACAATTCTCTCATCTGCAAAAGCAAAGACAACAAACAAAATAACTCTTGCCCCCAAAACTGGTGCGGCAAGCATAACCTCAAAAACTAACAAATAAAACTATTGAATTTATTTAATTATTTTAGTTATTTGAATAACGGGTTGCCTCCCGTTAAGAGCTTCTTTAACGTCTGTAGCTTGACGCTCACCGACTTTTTCCGCGACTTTCCGATCCGAGAGTCATAAAGTTTGGCCTTTTTTACTCTCTTCTGATACCACCTCGTTATTGCTCGGTCAAGGTCCAGGATCCTTGACTCATCCCTGCGGCTTGGTGGCAACAGGATATAAGGAGGAGACTCTAGATAGGTGGGGGGTGGAGGAAGTCTCCTCAGTTGATCCACATCATTGGCCTTCAAAGCAAGATTGATTTCTTCCTTGTCTTCAATGGGCTGACAAACCATTTGTGGTTTGATGATTATGACCGTACTTTCCCCCATGGATGAGTCTTCAGTGTCACTTACCAGAAGTTCATCCCAACTCTTTTGGCTCCAACTATCCTTCGGGTAGACAAAGTCACACTCGTCAAGTAGGGAGTCAAAGATAGTTTGGTCTAAGTCTTCTGATGAAGCATGATTATCTATAGACGTTATTGGTTCCTATGTGCTAGGTATTTCTTTGTCTATAGATTCCTCCTTACACTCTTTGGCATTGGTATCTTGGGGGCAGGTAATGGGCTCTATTTCCTCTAGAACAGGTTCCTCTAGAAGGGTGTCTTCAACACAATTAAGGAGATGGTCGTTTATTGCCATAGGCAAAACTTCCTCCTCCTTCTTTTCTTGAATAAGCATAGGTGGTTCTGAGTCAGGTCCCTCAGTTGGTTCCACCTCATGTACAACTATGCTAGTTGGGTCTTGGCTAGGAAGAGATTCAGGTAACATCACCACAATAGCCCTAGCGAGAGTTGTTATGCTCTCGGGTTTCTGTGATGGGGCAGAATTAGGTGAATCTTTCAGAACCGGGACCTGTTGGTTGATGGGTTCAGGGTTGGTCTTAGGTTCTAGAGCCTCTTTTTGAACATTAATCTCCCTCATTTGATCTTGAGATTGGAGGGAGCGTTTAAGTTCAACAGCCTTGTAGAGATCATTGACTAATTTATCACCTTTAGCCTCAGCTTCTAGTCTCTCTCTTTGGAAGTCATCTAGCATTTTCTGCATCATATCTGATCCTTCGCATAATCTCTGTTCGAACTATTTTTCCTTCCGGACTGATTCGAGAAGTTTTGCTCGTTCTCAAATTGCCACCTTGTTTGCTTCAATTTACTCTTCAGCAAACAAAGTGTAGTCACGGGAGTAAGGTGGTTCGTACCAGGAACCTTCAGCAAACAAAACCTCGTCGAAATAGAAGATTTTCTGTTCTAGTCTTATTATTTCTTCGACGAGTGGATCAGATTGATCGTCGCACATAGGCCCAAATTGGTCATAGTCATCTTTGTCATCATGAGGTTCATAATAATCATCCCCATCAGGATCTTGGTATGGAGAATATCCAAAGTTTCTAGATGGGGTATCATATGGTGATTCCTCATGGTAGGGATAATAGTCAGCCCCATTGTTGACTTGGTAGTCATCATCGTATGGGTACTGATGTGGGTGATAGGTTTGGTGGGGTTGAAACAGAGGGCGGTTGGGTGGTTGGTAGAAAGAAGTCGGACCGTAATAACCACTGGAGTTGTCCATAATAATTATTACGGGTGGTTGGTGAAAAAGAAGTGAGAAGATCGTTCTAACATATCTTCAGCCAAGCTAATTAAAAGAAATTAAACTAATGCCGTGCCACTCCCTGGCAACGGCACCATTTGACAGTCGTAGTCTTTCGGGTAGTAAACCTTCCGAGTAAAGGGTTAGTTTTCTCTCCGAGTGTCGCATCTCTCGAGGAGTGGACGAAGTGAATTAGTTTAATTAATCTAATTAGGCGAAGATTAGGATTGGTTTATGAAAGTCTTCTCGAATCGATTATAAAAAGGGAGCAGAGTAAAAATAATAAATTAAGTTTACATAGTATAAGTATGGATCTGGTCCTAGGGTCTAGACATCATTTGGATATATTTTATCATATTAAATTAGTGGTTGGAATAATAATATTTCTATTACTACTCATCCATTTCTAGATTTGTACTTAATCCGTTGCACTTGAATATCATAGCCTTTTGGCATACAATATTTTCTCAATAAATAGTTAATTAAATCTTTCGAGATTAATTAACTACATAAGGCAAGAACAATAGATTAACCACTCCAACATTAATTTAACATAAAAAAATAAACAACCAAACTAGTCTGGACCAAGAGATCCGGACCCTAACTCATACTATGCAAACATAAATTAAAATAACATTTTATAAAATGAAGAAAACTTACTACTTCCGTAAAAGCGGAACAGAACAGATCGGGAGTCAAATCCTCCGGAAAATACTTAAAAATAATAACTAAACTAATCTACAATGAAATATTGAGCAAATTGAAGGGGAAACCTGAAATGGGGTTGTGAGATGGTGTTGGAATGGTGGAGATCGCGCTGCTTTTATAGGACAGAGGCCGAGGCATCCAAGTCAAAGCGTCCGGATCTAAAGCGTCCAAAGTTGGACGCCTTACGCGGCCCGTCCATTTGCTGCTTGCCACGTGTCTTCCTTGATCTGCAATTCAGCCAAGGCGTCCAACTCCCAAGCGTCCAAGTTGGACGCCTTAGGCCCTGGTCCGTTTGGGCTTCGCGGCTGATGCGAGATCTTGACCCAATTTTGCTGGTTTTCGGCCCGAACGTCGATTCTATCTTCCTAGAAGCTCGTTCAAGCCCGAATCTTGATCCTTTGATGATTTATTCCCTTTTTCTCAAGCATTTGAACATAGAATGGATGATTTATGATGATTTAATGTGGAATCCCATTTTATGACTCTTAGAACGAAAAAGAGAGCTTTATTCATTGAAATCACATTTTATAAGATGATTAAATACTATTTACGTGCAATAACGTTCAAAATATGATGTAAATGATAAGAACGAAATGGACTTATCAAAAACCGATACAACTCAAGAACTTGAATCACACAAGTATAACAGCAATAATAGGAGTGAATAATTGATGTTATTCCTTTTGAGAAGCCTTTGGCTTTATATGCATACATACGTACAGGAGAAAGACTTTGGCCATGCTAAACCCAAGCCACAATATTAGGAAGATTACAACTATACGGATAGGAATAAACAGAAGATAGATACAACTAGATACAATGAACTTAGACATTCTAAGTTATGGAGAAGTCTCCTTAATACGCCCCCGCAAGATGGCGGTTCCGTCGGAGACGCCAATCTTGGACCGGAATTTGTGAAACAGAGCACGACCCAGTGGCTTAGTAAGAATATCCCCGGTCTGCTACGTAGTAGGGACATGGACAACATGCAAACGTCCAGCAGCAACGACATCCCGAACAAAAAAATAATCAAGGGCAAGATGCTTCATGCGGGAGTGAAAAACCGGATTCTTGTAGACATACACAGCACTCAGATTGTCGCAAAAGAGACGAGGAGCAGGAAGAGACCCCACTCGCAGCTCAGACAGAAGGTTTTGAACCCAAGCAAACTCAGCGACGGCATGTGCAAGCGCACGATATTCAGCCTCCGTCGATGAACGAGAAACCGTTTTTTGGCGGGTAGATTTCCATGAGATAATGTCGGAGCCAAGATAGAGAACATAACCGGTAGTAGACCGACCACCGTCAGTAACCCCTCCCCAATCAGCATCGGAGAAAGCAGACAGCTTCAAAGGGACAGTCCGAGAAAGAAACAAGCCATGGAACAGTGTAGACTTGAGATACCGGAGTAGACGTTTGAGAGCCTCCCAATGACCTGTAGTTGGAGCATGCATAAACTGAGCAAGCCGATTAACAGCAAAAGAAACATCAGGCCGAGTGAGAGAAAGATATTGCAACCGGCCAGGGACGCGGCGGAAAGCAGTAGCATCGGCCGAGGAAGCGGCTTCAGATGACCCGAGAGAGGAATGAGCCGCCATAGGAGTGGAATGACCCTTCGCATCATCCATAGTTGTACTCTCAAGAATATTAGTGATATACTGAGCCTGAGACAAGAACACACCTGATGGCATAGGAATGACCTCAACCCGAAGAAAATGATGAAGGGCACCCAAATCCTTCAAAGAGAATTGGCAGGACAATGTCTCAATAAAGGAAGAAATAAACACGGAGGAGTTGCCGGTAATAATGATATCATCCACATAGACGAGGAAATAAGCCAGCACACGATCCTTGGCATACACGAACAAAGAGGAATCAGCCCTCGACTTACAAAAACCAGTGGCAAGCAAGAAAGCCAATAAGGAGTCATACCATGCGCGGGGAGCCTGTTTTAACCCATATATAGCCTTAGAGAGCCGACACACATGTGAAGGAAAATCTGGATGAACATAACCAGGAGGCTGCTCCATAAATACCTGTTCGGACAACTTACCATTAAGAAAAGCATTATTAATGTCCAATTGCCGCAAAGGCCAGTTATGCGCAAGTGCAAGGCTTAACACGAGCCGAATGGTAACCGGCTTCATAACCGGACTAAAAGTCTCAAAATAGTCACGACCCGGTGTCTGTAAGTACCCCTTGGCAACAAGAAGAGCTTTAAAACGATCAATGGACCCATCTGGATGACGCTTAATACGGAATACCCATTTGCAACCAATCGAACATTGTGCCCCCCGAGGGACAAGCTCCCATGTGGCATTTTTTTGCAAGGCGTGATACTCTGCATCCATGGCCGCTCGCCAACGAGAGTCCTTGAGAGCCTGGGCAACAGTTTTGGGTTCAAGAGACTCGGGTAACGGATGACGAGTTGTGACATGTTATTCTGGAGAGCGAGTGACAAACTCAGGATTGAAAATTCTGGAATTAGGACGACATTGTCGAACGGGACGCTAGAGACCGGCATTGGAAGGGAAAACAGTGGGTGGGGAAGCGGCGGTAGTAGTCGTACCAGAGGAAGGAGGAGATGAGGTGGGCACAGGGTTATCATGGGGAACAGGTAAGGGGGATGACAGGACTGGTGGAACGGCTGAGGCTAATGAATGGCGAACCGCAGGGAGGGGAAGAGCAGGCGGCTGGGTGGAAGAGGAGGGAGAGAGAGACACATAGGGATAGTGGTGTGAAACAAACTTGACATGGCGAGACACATAGACACGGTGGGTGTGAGGATCAAGACAGAGATATGCAGACTGACTGGTGGAATAACCAACGAACACACAGGCGATGGACTTAGGTTGGAGTTTAGAAGTAGTATATGGGCGAAGCCATGGATAGCACAAACACCCAAAAGGTTGAAGTTTGAGATAGTTCGGATCACGAGAGGAAAGACATTGATAGGGACTACGATTGTGCAAGAGCGGGGTGGGCATGCGATTTATGAGATAAACCGCAGTTTGAAATGCATACGGCCAAAAGGAGAGAGACATAGAGGCATGATGAAGTAACGACAAACCCGTCTCAACAACATGGCGATGCCGGCGTTCAGACGTGCCATTATGCTCAGGTGTGTGAGGAGGGGTAGTGAAATGAGACACCCCTTGAGACGCAAGAAACGACCGCATTTTAATATACTCCCCACCGTTGTCAGAGTAAAGAGAGATGATTTGTTTGTTGAAAAACTTTTCCACTAAATTTTTATAGATGGGAAAAATAGTGGAAACCTCAGACTTACGCCGCAATGGATAGAGCCAGATATACTTAGTAAAATGGTCAACAAAGATAACATAATATTTATATCCATCAACAGACATATCATTGCAAGACCATACATCAGAATAAATAAGTTGTAACGGGGCAGTGCTTGTGAGGGAATGATCAGAGAAAGGCAATTTATGGCTTTTATTAATGGAGCATGCAGAACAATGAAAAGTGTCAAAAGCATGTGTAGACACAGACTTATTACAATATGGTAATATTTGAGACAAAACTTTATTGGAAGGGTGCCCAAGCGCATGATGGAGATCGGACAGACCAATATGATGCACCTCTGGTGGACGAACCGGAATTGCATAATAAACACCGGCATGATTTTTACCGTGAAGAAGAGGCGCCCCCGTTGTCAGATCCTTAACCACAAAAGACAAAGGAAAAAATTCAACGGAGACATGATTAGTTTGACAAAGCTGAGAAACAGACACAAGGTTTCTGGACAGTTGAGGAACACACAAAACATTGGTTAAGGAAAGGGACCCAGAAGACGTGGGAATAGACGTAGTGCCAACATGAGAAATAGGGAGACCCTTACCATTGCCCAGACGAATTTCATCGGGACCACCATATTCAGAGAATGACTGGAGATGCTGAGGCGCAGGAGTAGTATGGTGACTCGCACCACTGTCAAACATCCACTTATTCACCCCATCAGGAGCAAGCGATGTGGCATGCACGGCAGGAGAAGACATGTTGTGAGACGAAGCAGAGACCGTCTGCATGCCATGTTCACGAAGGAGACGAGCCAATTTACGACAGACCTTTATGTCATGCCCTGGGATGGAGCAGAACTGGCAGGCCGAAGATGACCCATCGTGACGACAAGACGATTTGAAGGCCCCACCGGGAGCAGCACGCTGACTGCCGTAAGACCTCGAGAAGGGTGCGGAAGGACCACCAGGTGCACGATGGCCAGCAGAGGGGTGGCGCTGAGTCGCATTTGCAGTAGCCACCACAGGAGAAGAGACATCATCAGTAAGGTGTAACTTGCGTTCAAAATCACGCAAAATATCTCCAAGTTCAGGAAACGGGAGTTGGGAGCCACGAATGAAAGCAGCAGACGCAATGGGATCATAATCCAAACCAAGTTGATTGAGAACATGTGCCACCAGATCTTCTTCAGCAACAAGACTTTGATTAAGTGCAAGCTCATTAGCAATGGAGTGCATGTCGTGGAGATACTCATTAATAGACCGAGTACCACGCAGATTCTTTCCAAGTTTAGACTTGAGGGCTAAAATGTGACCGCGACTCGCACTCGCAAAACTGGAGTGGAGATTGAGCCACGCCTCACGAGCCGTTTCAACATTGGAGATGAGCGGTTGGATTGTGTCAGTGTAGCTACCGAGGAGAGCCCCGACAATAGATTGGTCTTGACGGAACCAGATGGAGTAACAGGGGTTAGCGGAGCCGCCAACCGTGGAGGAGGGAGCCGTGAGCGTCCCATCAACATAGCCCAGGAGATCAAGGCCGATGAGTGTGGAGCGAACTTGACGCTGCCAGATCGGAAAATTTGTGGTGATCAGTTTGATCGAAAAATGTGTCTTCGCATGGAGTTGAGGAACATGGGTATCTTTTGTGATGACAATTGCCATGCTCAAGCCAACGGAAGGAGAACAGGCAGAAAGAGGATCGAACTAGAAAAAAAAATCTAGTTGCTCTGATACCATATAACAGCAATAATAGGAGTGAATAATTGATGTTATTCCTTTTGAGAAGCCTTTGGCTTTATATGCATACATACGTACAGGAGAAAGACTTTGGCCATGCTAAACCCAAGCCACAATATTAGGAACATTACAACTATACGGATAGGAATAAATAGAAGATAGATACAACTAGATACAATGAACTTAGACATTCTAAGTTATGGAGAAGTCTCCTTAATAACAAGCCTCAACTTCTTACAACAAGACTTGAGTCACACAAGCCTTAACAACAACAAGACTTGAATCACACAACTCTTAGCAATACTCAAAAAGATTGAGTTTACAACACAAGAATGAAAGCTCACACAATTTGAGCAAGAAGTGTTGAAATATGAAAGCTCTATGGATGACAAAATCTTTAGCATTCAATAAAAATATTTCTAACTCTCAAAATAATATATTTGATGAGGAAGATGGAAGCAAGAATTAAATATTGATCAATGAAGATATTGGAGTGCAAGAGATGTATTTTTAATGAAGGAGGATGAGTGTATATATAGAGGAAAAAGAAATAAATCCGTTGGAAGTAGGGAAGAGGTGATTTTGACAGATTAGAGCATTGGGGATCGATCCAGGGCAAGAGATCGATCGTCTGGAGTAAACTACGGAAAATAAATTTATTTCAAAAGCACGGGGAATCAATCCAAGGTAGGGGATCAATCCTCTGGAACCAAAATTCAGGAGACGGATTTTTGCAAGGCTACGGGGGATCGATCCACACTCAAGGATCGATCCTACGAACAATTTGGAAAAAAATATATGATCGATCCATTCACTTGGATCGATCCAGGCTCGGATCACTCTGCACAAGTGATTGATCCAGGAAGGATGATCGATCCCCTAACGAACAATGGCCAAACAAGGAGAACCCAAAGCATGTGTGCGAGTGGGGAGTACAATTAGAGCTTAATGATTTGTTTTAGACAACAATTTGAATATGATAAGGCTCCCATAAACAAACAAATCAAATGAGTTGAAAAGAATTAATTTAAATTCAAAATTTGAATTAAATAATGAATTTTTGTGTAGAAATTAAGTCCCAAAAATATTGTGTGTCAAACGAAGTACAAGAAAAATCTTTAAAGTGTATATTTCTTACCACAAAAAGTGTGTGTATCCTAAAAATTTAAATCTAAATTTAAAGCGTTGATTTTTATTGCCGTAACTTTCTTGATACCCCTCTTTGCTTTTCTCGATACGAAAAATAAATTTTCCATTATCATTTGAATTTAATAATCCTGTTTGTTATTCATCAAAACAAAAATATTCCAGAAAAATAATAAAGGGGTTTGAACTCATGTCCAACAATTTCCCCCTTTTTGATAATGACAAACATAGTTCAAAACAGGCAAAGTAAGAGTTCAAGAAATACTTCTTTTAGATTGATTCCCTCTGCATGGATAGAGAAGTGCAGTAAAAAAATAATTTCGGAGTAATAAGCGGAAAAAACGTTTTTGAAAAACAAGTTTTCTCAACTATCCTTCCTTCCCCCTTTTGGCATTATCAACTGATAACCTTCCCCCTTAATTGATGCTGGGATTTTGAAGGATAGTAAAAAATGGCAAGAGTTTTCTTTGAAAGAGAACTCCTAGTAAAAAATGCCACAAAGGGACAATATGTTCTAAAAAAGAACACTATTGCCAAACCAACGATGATATTAATACACAATCATAATCTACATCATCAATGAACAACAATAACTAGCATAATTAAAGTAACATCATCATCCACCAAAAGAGTCATAATAACATATAATACTGTATCATTAGAAGTCATCACATAAAGAGAGATAGAGAAGTCAAAGTGAACTCGTTGGTCGGGATCCACCGCTGTAACTATGACGCAGTCCGAGATAAGGTCGTCGCTCTATCTCTGCCATCCGCTACTCAAGACGCGAGAGACGATGGCCTTGCATGGTCATCTCCATGCGAGTGTGCGCCACATCCATGCGAGTACAAGTCACGGCGTCTAAAATCCGTTGAAGGATGGAACGATCAATGTGACGCGATGAAGCAGAGCGTGAAACTCGAGTAGGAGAGGAACGCCGAGTGGATTCCACTTGAGCTACTTCTTGGACATGCGGCAGTTCGCCCTCTGGGTCATGTTCTTCTTCACCCTCTCCTTCTCCTTCTTCTTTTTCTCTTTCTTCTTCTCCTTCTTCTTCTTGCACGGTCCTTAGTACATTAGAGCGGTTGAAAGTCGCGACATCGATGTACCACGTGTGGTTTTTGTTGACGTGGATGTCTTTTATCAAAGGCACCTCAAAATCTCTCAAAATGTTCATGATCGGGAACACATAACCAAGAGACACTTTTTTTTGATAAAATATAAATAGAATAAAGAGTAAGAATGTACAACTAGAACGGGCATACCCGAGCTTGGAAATGGCAGTTTCCAAATCCATAAAGACAAGTAACAACAACACCAAATGTCCACAATCAATCAACAAGACAACAAACAAAACATAGGCACAAACGCTAAGAACAAGAAACAAACAAACATCAGAAGGTTATAGAGTACAAAGGCCACATCCTCCCTAGGATAGAATAAACCATAACCTTGATTTTATGTCACAACCTCAATTGAGAGAGGCTCACGCTCAAAGTGGGCAGCATTACGTAGCTTCCAAAGGTGGAAAACAGTACACGCAAAAGCAATCCTTCTTGCCTTCTTGAGAATCCCATCCCCTCGCCTAAATGCCTTCAGCCATCTTATGGTTCTGGTGAGGGTACTCAGGTGTCCTTCCGTACCTAGCCAAGTCTTGATATTGTGCCAAACTTCTTTAGAGAATTGGCAGCTAAAGAACAGGTGGTCCACATCTTCCAACCCATGTCCACAGAAGGTGCAGTCCATAGGTAAACCGAGGAATTCCAAGTTTGTTTTGATGGGCAACCTCCTCCTGAGTGCCAGCCACATCATAAAGGAACACTTAGGAGGAATATAGCTCTGCCGGATGAAAGCTATCGAAGGCTTCGGGTTGGCTTTGGCGCTAAACAAATCATAAACCTTCCTTGGAATGAGGTTACTTGCCAAGCAAAAGGGAATCATAGCATCTTCCATAGAAGGATAGTGGTCACCAAGCTTTTGGACCAAAAGCTCACGCACATAGTCAAGCCTTTTGAAGAAGACAGAGTGTCTCTTCTTGGGTTGCCACTACCACAGGTTTTCACCCTGAATGTAAACATTGTGAACCCATTTGACCCAAAGGGTGTCCTTCTTAGCTGCAAATTTCCACAGAAGTTTGCACAACAGAGCATTGTTCCAGGTATTGGCATCCTTCAAACCCAGTCCACCTTCAGCCCTTGGCTTGCAAATATCAGCCCAGGCAACCTTGGCAAGTTTGCTGCCCCAAAGGAAGTCTCTACACATGGGGGTGATACGGTCAAGCACATATTTCTGGACAGGGAAGGCCTGGAGCCAAAAGGATTGGACTCCCTGTACCACTGTTCTAATCAGTTCCAATCTGCCAGCATAGGATAACTTCAAAGTACTCAATTTAGACAGAAAGCCATCAACAGTTTTGAACAAAGGGAAAAAATTACTCTCAGAGATCCTTTGAGAGGCCAAAGGGAGACCCAGATATCTAACAGGAAGCGGACCACGAGGAAAGGAGGCAAGATCCAGAATGTTTTGGCTAACATCCCTGTATTTACCAGCAAGGAAGATGTTGGACTTGGTAGGATTAAGGGTTAGGCCAGATACCCTTGAAAAGTGGTCGAAAGCATCCATTAAAACCTGCATAGAATGGAAATCCCCTCCAGAGAACAACATAAGATCATCAGCAAAAGCCAAGTGCGTAATCCCAAGTGCTGCACAGTCCTTGTGATAGTTGAAGCCACCTTTTTTAGCCCTTTTGTTGAGTAACCTAGAGAAGTACTCAATACAAAAGAGGAAAAGGGTAGGAGCCATGGGGTCCCCTTGTCTAAGCCCACGCTGACTAGGAAAGAAGCCATGGCTGTCACCATTAACCATAATAGAAGAAGAAGCAGAGGAAACACACTCCATGATAAGGGAGACAAATCTAGGGGGAAAGCCCAACCCATGCATCACATCCTGCAAAAAATTCCAAGAGACAGTATCATAGGCCTTGGTGATATCCAATTTGATCAAGCAGCTAGGAGTGGACCTCTTGACAGCATAATGCCTGATAATGTTAGAATAATAGACCAACGCTAGAGGGGGGTGAATAGCGTTTGATCAAGAAATCGCAGGAATAAAAATGAATAAGTGAGAAGTAAAGAGAAAAGAAAGAGGCACACCGATTTTACCCTGGTTCACCACAACTTGTGGCTAATCCAGCCTCCCGAGAGACTCTCTCGAGCTACACTACTATCTCGTTAAGCTTAACGGTGCTTAACAAACCCGTACAACTTGAGAGTTCGAGTCACACGAACCTCAACGAACCTTCGAAGGAAACAACCCTTCCTTCGAACAACAAGAGAAATACCTTCTCTTGTCAAGTGTCTAAGAACACTAAAAACACTCAAGAACAATACTCTCTTTTTAGAGTGGATATTGAGTAAACTAAGAACGCTCAAGGACACGACACAAGCTTCACAAAAATGGCTCTCAAAAGCTATGAATAATTAAAGAATGATTTGCAATGAAAGAGTAGGAGTTGAGAAGTAATGTGTTGTTTAAAACAGACCCAAACACCTCATTTTATAGTAGAAAAATAGGCTCCAACGGACCAAAGTATTTAAGGGGTAATTGGCATAATTTGTGGGATTTGATGAAATTTGGATCTGTTGAAAATCACCCAGACAGCGCTGTCCTAGGCCTGGACATCGCTGTTCTAGGCTTGCGGTTTGAAAAATGGGAAGCAACGGTCATGCCAACAGCGATGTCTAAAATCCCTACATCGCTGTTTTGGCTG